GAAAATAATTCTCTTCCCTCTTGAAACTTCATCCAATAAAACCAGTTCATCCTTACTGCCCATCTCTGGCACATCCTTGTGTGGACCCCCTCAGCTGGAGACCCGCGCTTCTTCCCTTCAAGTCACCATACAGGTCATGCCTCTGTTGGTACTTAATTTCCCACGTCTGTTGTACCTGTTTTATTGCTCCTACTGAAGTAACATTACATCTCGATGGAGAAATAATCGAGATGGAATTTTGAAAAGCCCCATTACAGTAGGAGCTCAGTTACTCAGTACAGACATGAAGTCAAACTTGGCCAATAGAAAAACCTACTAAAATATTTGGCTGTCTGATAAAATTTAATATAATGTAGTTCTAAATCACAATTCAGAATTTGTTTTCATTTTTCTATGGGATAGCCCTCACAATTTGGGGTAACTAGACGAGTCTCCTGTTATAAAAATTATGTGACTTTTAGTTCTCCATTAGGTGCCAGATAGAGCTGATGAAATGCGGCAAATCCTGCTGTATCTCCATGTATAATACAGTCCTGATAAACTGAAACCCGCAAGCTTGATATTTACGGGGAGATGAAGGAAGGGGCGGGGGGAATAGGCTGCCATTTCTCTTAGGAGCAACTATTATCAGATCATGTGTGGCATCAACACAGAGGAGGAGAATGTGGGCAGGTGGGGGTGGGCTTTAGAGTAGTAGAGCCAGACTCTGGAGGAAAATCAATTTGAAAGGAGAGGACAACCTAATAGAAGGCAGTATATTCTCTAAGGGTCTTACATTGAGGTGGCTTCAGAGTCAACGTGAGTCTCAGCAGCTTTAGTTCTTGGGGGAGAAAACCTCTAGCACCACTGAGCCAGAAAAACTAAAAAACCTAGTTGCAGCGCCTTCCTACTTGCCCAAAGGAGAGAGACACACTCCAGCGGAGAAACCATAGGAGGCATAACTGTGTGGGAGCTAAAGGAACAGGCAACAACTTCCACGTGGAAGCCATTCCACAGTTTCATGGCCGGCTCAGTAAGGGCTCAAGGCGTAGAATGTTCGAACCTCAAATGTTCGAACCTCAATTGTATGCTACTGCTCTCTCACTCAGGATTAAAAGATGAGGCAACATTGAGAAAGGAGGTAGCGAACTCCACACTCCCTCAGATACCCCAGTTTCATATCCCTAACAGGCATTGGCTCACCCCATTCTGAATTTCTAGATCAGAAACCAGGGAGACCTCCTGATTCCTCACCCAGGAGGGTAAGAACAAATAGCCTAAAGGACAGTGGCATGGTGGAGCACACCTTCAATCCCAGCACTCTGTGAGTTCAAGGCCCGTCTGATCTACAGAGGGATAGCCAGGACTACATAGAGAGAACCTGCCTCAAAAAAAAAAAAAAAAAAAAAGTACTTCAATGAGTGTGAGCTGTGGTCCTCCCGTGAAGACTATACCTGGGATTGTTCACTAAAGTTTATTTCTGACCCCCTTCCTCAGAGCAGCCCTTCAAAACTGCTTCTGAGAAATTCTAACCTCCTGAATGAGGGGGGTGGGGGGTAGGGGGTGGACAACAATAACAAGCTGATTTTTCTCTCCAAGAGACAATCTCTGTGAAGTGCAAGAAGCCTCCGCCTCCGCCAAGGAGAACAGCTTTTCAGTTTGTTTCTGGAAGCTCCTTAAGTTCCGCTGGAAGAGTGTCAACAAGCCAACTGTTATCTCAGCCTGGAGAAAGCACACTGATCATTTATAGATCAGAAACAAAGGACTTGTTTCCAGGCAGAAAATGGAGGGGAAGAGTCTCGTGAGTTCACTGATATTTAATTTCTATTCTGTAATTAATCAATTGTAGTTTATAGTATACGATGCTTGGGAGTTAGTTACATTTGTAATACAAGCGATGCTTTCTGCATCTTAAACACTGGTCTCAAATCTTACAGCCTTTATATACCGTCATGGTTAACCGACTACATTTTGGACAAAGACAGGCATGCTTCTGTAGTAAAATCATTTGAAAATAAGACTTCTTAGGTTGAGTATTAGAAAACATAACAGAGAGGATCTATAACATCACTTAAAGATACAAAAGTCTAATTTTGAAACCAAATCACAACTGCCCTGTATTTTTCAACTTGCTTATCAGCACAGAGTTCAATTTATAAATTGATACTTTTATAAATTAAATGTTTAAAAACAAAGATTGGTTTCATAATTTCCCTTTAATTACAAATTAGTACTTTGAGGGCTGGAGAGATGGCTCAGCAGTTAAGAGCACTGTCTGCTCTTCCAGAGGTCCTGAGTTCAATTCCCAACAACAACACGGTGGCTCAGAACCATCTGTAATGAGATCTGATGGAGGGCATGTGTATATGTAGACAGAGCACTCATACATAAAAAAAAAAGAAGAAGAAAAAAAACCAATCTAGTACTTTTAAAACCTAAAGGTTAATTCTTCAATCACATTTTTCCTCCTCAAAGTGAGGATGTCATGGTTTGAATCTGAAATGTTCCTCACAGGCTAATGCTTCAAATGCCTGCTCCCTGACTTTTCTCCTGTTTCAGAAAGCTATGGGACCTTTGGAGCTGGGACCTTGCTTGTAGAAGCCGTTCACTAGGAACTGGCCTCTGAGAGTCACAGCCCAGCTCCTGATTCTGGCCTCACTGTGCTTTCGGGCCCCCCATGACGTGACGAGTCTTTGCCACATGCAGCCTCCCACCATGAACTCCACCATGTCTTGACTATCACCGTGGACTCCAGCACTTGAAAGCCATCAGCCAAATAAATCTTTCCTCAATCACATTGTTTCTGTCAGGCATTTTGGTCAGAGAAGGCAAAGCAGCAAACACAGAGGGTTTCCACTGGTTTTGTTCCTATGCCTTGAAGATCTCTGACATCCGTCAATCCCCACCTACACCGAAATCCTCTTGCAGATGGTGTTCTCTTGTAATCTGTCTCTCAAATACCCACAGAAACATTTTCTATTTTTCTAATTCTAGGTTGGAACGACAGATAGGCCTATGTCGGTGATGTGGAAGGACTTGGGAAGCCCAGTTGGTGTTTCTCAGAGCAGAGCATCTAAACCAGGCTTGGCCAACTTGGTTCAGCAGTGTAGGTGCGATGCAAACACCCAGATGACCCAAGTTGCTATCGACTATCTACGACTTTTCGACTCTCCAACAATTACCAATGACATTTATTAAAATTCGATAAAATACTGGTAGAATTTCAATCGAGTATACTTTATTAGTCTTAGAGGGCTATTTAAGGATAGATTTAGGGGAGAGTCATGGTTTCAGGGGGTTCAGTCCATGACTGATGGGCTCCAAGCACTTGATGAGAACACCATGTCTGTGGGAATATGTGCTGGGAGGGGTTCTTCACATTGTGATGGACAGGACGCACGACATCCACCAGTGATGGGAAGGAAGGGACGGGGGACAAAGTCAGACCCTAGTGACCCACTTCCTCCCACCCCACAAGGCTCGATCCCCAGCAGGCCCCACCTTCTAGAGTTTATCGAACCTCCCAGAACAGTGTCACCAGCTGCTGAGCAGTCATTCAGTAATAAGCCTGTGGGAGACAGGTTATACTCAAACCACAGGTCAGAGATTTTCCAAACGTTAAGAACCTGAAGTGCCTCTTAGAAGGAGGCACCTTACAGTATGTGCCCTGGACTACCGCAGATTGCACCGATTCCCAATGATTTAAACCATCCAAGCTGATGGAGCCAGGGGAGTGCAAACTGAGGCTGCGAGTTCTCCACCCTCTGTTTTCCTCTGGAGTCACCCAAGATTATTCAGTCTTGGGCAAATAATTGTTTGCTCCTCAGCACCTGACCTCAAGTGTAGTTTTCAATGAATTAGTCTCTGACTCTTTTGAGAATGTTATAAAACCCAATGGACCAGAACTTCCCCCCAGGAACATGCTTATGGGTTTACATGTAAAAATGTCAAGGAATTCACAGGAAGAATTCTGAAGATTGTCTGTCCATGGATTGTTTATGAACCCTTTCTCTGCCATTTTTAGAAGTTTTTGTCTTGGATCAGGGTTTCTCAGCTTCCATAGTGAGTGGGTGTCTCTGAAAAGATGCTGAGAAATCCTCAACATTCATTTTCTCATTCTCCTAGTGATAAGATTGTGCCCTTTCTCTTGGAAAAGGTGTGTGTGTGTGTGTGTGTGTGTGTGTGTGTGATCCTAGAAGCAATTCACACTACCAGATTAAAGAAAATCATAGGATGCCCCATAGGACCCAGTTGGGTAAAAAGTTTCCTGAAGACTCCACAAGGGCAGAGAACACTGGATCTCTCTTGTATCCTCACTTCATGGAACAGTTCTTGGTACACAATCACTGACTAATAGACACGTGTCACATTTGTTAATAGAACAAGGGTTCTCAGGAGCTTGGACATAGGCAATGGTGTTATTTGATAGTCCAAGGAAAGAACGCCAAATGGCTCATTAGCATCACCCAGATGCATGCGTAGTGTCAAATCATCATGCCAGGGAGATAACTCCCTTGTGATACTAGAATTTAAGAGGAAATTTTCTTTCTTTGTTGAGATAAGCTATCACTCTGTGACCCAGGCTGACCTTGAACTAATGATCCATCTGCCTCACCCTCCGGAATGCTAGGATTACAGGCATATGCCTCCGTACCTGACCTTGGAAGAGCAAGTTATGGTGAGTCCCTCTCTTCCTTTTGAATGCCGTTGGAAGAGAAGTAGTGTTCTCTTCTCAAGCAAGAGAGCTGTGTGAGAATCCCATTTCTGCCATTTGCTAGCAACACTACAGCAGGTGAACGACGTAATCCCGTCCACTGGCTTCTTCTGCATGACAGGGAAATAAACTATGCCTTCCTCTCCAGTTGTTGCTGTTGGCCTTCAGGACTGACCCTGAGGTGCAGCGGAAGGCCTGGAGGTCCACCAGGAACCAACACTCCAGGATCAAAAGCAGACGAAAGCATTTGCAAGTGGATTGCATGCAGTACTGTGAGCAGTGCAGATGGCCAGTCTGCTTTTCAGATCATAAATTCGTGTTGAATTCAGAGAGAATGTCTGCAACCATCTCCTGCCTGGGGAAAGTCGCAGTTTAAAGCCATGGCATATGATATTGTCATTGCTGACCGCTATTTTTTTTTTTCATTCAGAATCTCCTTTGTTTTGTTTGGTAAAGTCACTAATGTTTTCTGCTGACTGAGGACATTTAACGGCAGCACAGCATTATCGAAAGGCTGAAGGGTGTGCGCAGGACTTGGGTCACTCCTGTACAAAGAGATTGTGTGTTTATTCCAGGTGGCCTGGCACTCAAGGGACAGGAGAGTTACTCTTTTGTTTGAATGGTGTGTTGGTTGTGTGTCAGGTAAAGCACTTCGAGCTAGTGTTTGTTAGCCAAGGGGATAACCAGCCTTCAGTTTTACAAGTCCTTGCTGCAGGGCACTCACATGACTGCAGCCAAATCACAGTCCCCGTCAGCTCTCTGGATGCTGCATGAATTCACTCTTTCCAGAAGCCTCCTGGAAATATGATGGGAAACTTCAGTGCAACAGCTGGAAGCTATGGGAAGTATGGCTACAAGAAAGGGAAGAAAACCACATTACAGTCTGCAGAGTACCGACTTGACCTCATCTTAAAGGTGCCAGAGACACCGATGGTAAATCTACTCAAGCAAGTACTTCCTGGGGGCTTCCCGAGTATGGACAAATGCAGGACTTGTCTCTGCCTTCTAGAACTTAAGCTGTACCACGAAAGAGAGAATGCAAATCTAGGCAAAGTGACGTAACGGATGAAAGCCGTGAAAAGCGGCAGCTAGCGATGCTAAGAGGTTGGCACGTGGAGGATGGAGAGATAGTTAGTGTTGTCCCGTGCAGTTCATTTCGAAAAAGAGAGGCCTCATGGGCCTCAGGTGAAGGCTTGAAGTTTTCTGTTAGAACAGCTTGGCTTGCAGAGCGTGTGTGAGGTCGCAGGCTCAGTCTCCAGCACCATCACCACCAACAGGAAGCATGGTGGCACACACCTGTGATCCTAGCACTCGGGAACCGGAGCAAGAAGACTATACTAGTTTGGGCCAACCTGTGCTACGTAGTGAGGTTCTGTTTAGAAAGCAGAATGAAACAAAAACAAAATGAAAAAAAAAATCTGAGACAAAAACACATGGCACAGTTAGGGTGCCTTTTCTGAACTGAGTAGCTAGGAAGGCCAGTGTTGGCAGATTTAGAAAAGCTGAACCAACATCACTAAATCCTCAAATGACAGTCTGAGGAGGCTTAGGTTTTGTGAAAAGGGGATCATGTTTGATAAAGATTGAGAAAATCCCTTGTGTAGTGATAGTGGGGATGGATTAAGTGGTGGGAGGTGACAAGCGGGAGGTGACATTGAAATGAGCTTATGCTGTCAGGACATAAGGTATTGAAGACAGCCCAGATACGAAACCACATTCCTCACGTTACAATACCTGCAAATTCCCACACGTTACACACGGGATTCTCTCTGCTTTCTATTTTACCAACTGAATAGTGAACACAAAACGATGTCAGAAATCGTCCTGAGCAGTGGCTTGCAGGTGGCAGCCTTGTGAAGAGATGTGAGCTTCTGAATGAATTAACAATTGGTTGGAACATGTAGACCTCTACTCAGGAGAAGCAGCTACCTTTGGGATAAGGGAAGATCTTCGTGTCCATGTCTAACCCATGAAAGTGCCAGGTCTGTCCACAACTTTGGGGGAAGAAAAGCAACTGACTATGGAGTTTAAAATGTGTGACCACTTTGTAGGAATCAAACTGTACCATTATTTTGTTTACTCACTTGTTCGTCCAATCATTAAATAAAATGTTTTTGTTTTTAGCAGTTAGACTGTTTCCAACATAATTTTCATCAATGGGAGATATGAAAATAAGTAAAATCTATGTCCCTTTACTCAAGAGGCTGTAGTAAAACCAATTTGGAATTAAATGCTTGGGATACAATCCCACTGGCCCAGGTAATTATGCTTCTAAGAGATAGTTCTCTCCTTCCCCCATATGGATTCTGGGGATCAAACTCAGGTTCCTAGTTTCAGTGGCAAGCAACTGAGCCATCTTGCTGGCCATATTTCTGGAGTTCTGTCCTTCAAAGAGAGTCATACAAGTTATAAGGACAGGTGCACAGTCATTCACTACGACAAAAATTTAAGTTCATCTAAAATAAACTTCTAAAAAGCATTTCAATGAAGAAGCAATGCATACTTGCAAAAGTTAATATATTAGGAATATTCTTAATATCAGAGTAGTTAAACATATAAATCAAATAGTGATAGTCAGAAGAGAGAAATGAATAGCAATACAAGAGTGTCAGAAGATTTCAGGACCCCACTTTCGAAAGTGGACAGATCATCCACATATGAAGTCAACAAGGAAGCAGGAGACTTGAACAACAGCAGATCGTATGGACCCAACAGGTCCATACACAACATTCTACTCAACCACAGCAGAGCACATATTCTTCTGTTTGCACAGAGGAGTCTCCAAAATAGATTCCATGCTAGGTAACAGAGTAAATCTTAAATTGAGGGAGATTAAAATCATTCTGAATATCTTTTAGGTATGACCATGACGAAGACGACGACGACGACGACGACGACGACAAAGAAAAAGTGGTAAGGACAAGGGAATGTCACAACACACACTTGGACATCTTTTGAGCTAAGGAAGGAATCATAATGGAAACTAGGAAATATCTTGAGATAAAGAAAATAAAAACACAGCACACACCTTAACTTGTGGAATATCACCAAACAGCGCTGAGAGGAAAGTTTGTTTCAATGAGCAGCTACAGCAAAAAAGAAAGACCTCCAAGAACTTACCCAGAATGCCCACCAATAGCTAAATAAACAGTAGCACATCCGAGCTAAATAAAGGATGCACTGGATATGGATATGCTCAGATATGAATGCCCATAACTTAGAAGCACAAGACCTGTCCAAGAAAGCCCAATAACATCCTGTCCTTAGAGGGGAAGGGTCCATAGGCCCTACCCCTCCCAGAAAGCCCATAGGCAGTTCATGGCTGCTGGAGGAAGGAGAAGTGGAAGGTGATGGGGGTGAATATACTCAAAATATGAAGATGTCA